GGTGGAACCGACCTTCGAATCTCTTCACCCAACACTTCTACTCGAAATGGAAGTAATCCCAACAATAAAGTGGGGTTGCCCGCAAGGCAAACATGCATTTTCCATTATACTCGACTGCGTGAATAGTTTCGAATTGTAAGAGCAATTCTTGAATAAAATGTTACTTATTCCAGGTCGTTTTGATTGATTTAAGAATTGATAGTGGCATTATCCCAAAATAATATTTCTCATTCAGTGGTAGTGTAGGAGTGACTCCCCAATCATTCATTAAATCAATCTAGAATAATTAAATTTCTATCAAAATCTACTCACATCCAATGAATACTGAAAAGAACCAACAGCCACAATAAGTGTGACCTACTTGCCTTTCTAAACTTGGAATTCTCGACAATTTGCGAGTGGGTATGGCATCTTTTTTCTCTCTTGCTTCTATCTCTCTCCCCGCGACGGGGACACTCTCTCGCCTGGACGTTGGTTCGTACAACCCGTACGCCGACGGTTCTCTCCTATCTTCAGGTGGTTGCTCCGGGACAACTTCTTCTTTTGACAGGCACATTTTCGTCTCATCCTCCGGCTCCGTCATTGTCGAATCCGTTGACTCATCGACAAATCGTCCGCTAAACTTAAATCCAAAATCCTCGACCATTCCCGTCTTCATTTCACTCTTTTTGAACTCGGGCTCAGGATCCAAAGCACAGTCCACACCAAGTTCTTGATCTGCCCCGGGGTTAGCCCTCAACAAGTTGTCCTCTACCTCTACCTCCTCCTCCTCCTCATCGTCGTCATCATCCTCCTCATCCTCGTCATAATCTTCATCTTCGTACTCTTCATCCAACGAGCTGGATGAGGCCAGTTCTACAGGAATTTCGGAGCCAGAGTTGCCGCCAGACGAACTAAACACGGAACCAGTCTCGGCAGAAGACTCGAACGCATCCTCGTGCACCAGCCGTGGCCGAGCGGACATGTTCGGGAAGAAAAGATGTGTGGAGTCACGAAGATCCGCGATCCCGTCCCCTAATCTGACCGATTCGGTCGGCACCAGACTCATGGAGCCCGCATGCAGCGACGCCTCAAATCTGCCTTCGTCAGACATTCCGGAGCCGTGGGATTCGCATGCACTGGTCCGGCGATGCCAAGTCTCGTCCGCTTCAGCGTCTTTCGTCCACAAATACACCCCTTCCACTGACGCTGCCGATGCCGTTGATGCTAGTGTCTGTCCGACGGCCGGAGTCTGTGGCTGAAGCTGTCCCGGTACTCGACGAGAGAAATGCAGAGAATTGCGGGTCACCAGACCAGAGGGCAACATGCGGCCGGACTCGCTGAGCTCACCGTCTGTTGGAAAGGCATAAAAAGACAGGAAGAAAAACTGGGTTTTGCAGAATCCCGTCATGTGGCGTCATGTGACATGACTTTACATTTCGAAGGAAAAGTTGACTGGAAGGAATGTGTGAAATGGTCTCACTGGAAGCCGAAGGTAGATTGCTTGGTAGTGAAGACTGATGTATTGGGCGAAGAAGTTCCGGCTCTTCGTCCTTCGAACATGCTGAATTTGAGCTAGGCTTCGGTCCGTCCCGTCGTGATAGCCAGCATCGGAGCAAGAATACATACGTTACGAAGGGAAAAGGTGGCTGGCTGCAACCCTAGTTCAATTTT